AGAGGGCCCCCTGGGAACATTTTGTTTCTGCTCTGGTCTAGGACATAATATTGGCAGACAGCTTGATCATTTAACATTGCTCTATTTCAAGCAAAATGTCCTTGCATGATTTATTCTCAATGACACTAACCGACTGCAAGGATCTTTGGAGTTAACATCTCTCATTCGGTCCTACCTCCCACAAACATTCCCTAAGTGACTGTCTTTCATGGTCACCTGAGAGTTTGCTGAAGTGCTAACAATCTCTTCTCTTAGCCAAAAGGAAAACTGGGGCCTTTTCTCTCAAAATATATGCAAGGAAAGCATCAGTGTCAGCAGCTGCTAGCTCCGGCACTGACTGGTGCCAGCTTGATAAGCACTTGGTCCCACCTGGAAAGACTTGAGAGGTCTTTGCTATTCTGCTTGCTACAGCTGATCACCTCCCAGGTGGAGTGTTCAGAGGTATGTGGCTGGTCTGAGTGATCAGAGGCGGATGAGAGGATGAGAGTGGATGCTGATCATGTCATTGAAACAAATGACTTCCACACCTGCCAAATGGGTGCCAGAATAGCTGGTAAGCACACATGCCAGTGAATATGCTAGCTGAGACAGGTAGATTAGCAAATATGGAACTGCCCTCTTGGTCAAGGGCCTGGGCCTGGGGAAGGTGGTTGTCAAGGGAGTGATGGAGAGAATCTGAGTAAGGGTCAGGGTGCTGGAGGGGAGAAGACTCAGGGAGCTCAGAGCATCTGTGATTCACCTATTCTACAGACCTATTTTAATGTTTTAAAAACCAGTGTGTCTGTACTCCTGCTGAATGTCATAGCCAAATGTCAGCTCTCATATTCAATAAGAGAAAACTGATTAGCTCTATTTCATGTGCGTGAGAGTCATTTAGGGAGCTTGTTTAAAAACACAGATATCTAGTTCCCACCTCAAAATTGATGAACAAGACTCTTTAGAACTCAGGTTAGGCTCACCATACTTGGGAGACCTGAGTGTTCTGGATCAGATGATTCAAGGATTCAGTTCTACCCTTTGAGGGTTTTCTGATGACCTGAGAGGGTATCCTGTATATAGTTTCTTTGGCAAATTGTCCCTAAGTCAGGTGCAGGTTGTATGAGTGCGTGAAGCAGGTATGTGGGGCTGTGACAAATTAACGAGTGCAGGTCCATTTGTTGAAGTCACCTTGACCCCTGGGCTGCTGCTGCTCAGGAAAGCAGACTTCCTATGGACAGACCCCCTGACTTTTCAGGATGTAGGAAGTGATTGGGCTGGGAGTTGGGTCAGTCCTGCACCTCATCAAGTCACAGGTGGGGCCCTGCTTCCAAGTCTTCTGTTCCATAAACCCTGTCTATGGATGACTGAAGGGAGAGGAAGTGAGGCTGGTCCTACATAGCAAGGGAAGCAGGAAAGCTTTAAGTGGGAATCTTGATGCTGCTTAATGAGACAATACGGTTCCTAGAGAATGTCCCCAGCTATTGTAATCCATTGTCACTTCTTAGCTGTCCCATTTCCACCAGTCAAATCCAACCCTCAGCACCTTTCCTAACACCATGGTTTGGGGGGGCGGTCTATGTGGTAAAAGGCACCTTTTCTAAGGCATTTGGGTCTTAACTGAGGGATGCAGCTCTTCCAGGCTGGAATTTTCACCTTCTGATTTGAGGTGCTGGGGTTCTATCTAGGATTTCTGGAATGTTCCACAAAGCAATGGATTCCTGTAAGTACAAGGGAACTTGGCTTCATTGCTACATTTAAACCCACTTGCCAGGGCTCTCCTGCTGCTTGGAAGACCAGGTCTCCCATTGCTTTGTCTATCCGACTTTGACTTGTCCTTCAGGACTCAGCTTAGACTGTGTTCTCAACTCTAGAACTAGGTGCTGTGGGTTTCCTTTTAGCACCACAATCCTGAGCATGTACTTGTTCTAGAATTTCCCACCTGGAGTTTCAACAGCCATTAAAAAAAAAAAAAATCCAAGTCTAGCATTTGTTAGGTGTTCACTGTGTGCCGGCACTAAGTCACTATGCATTATTATCTCAGTTAATCATCACAACAGCCCAGCGAGGCTGGAACCATCATCATTCTTATTTAAGATAAGGAGGCTCCAAGATGTTAATTAAGTAGCTTGCTTAGTATCACATGGTCAGAAAGTGATAAATGAGAGCTTAAACTCAGTTCATGTGCAGCAGAGCTTGCTGGGCTCCTTTGCATTTGTCACCAAAGTTGCATCATGCAGCTTCCTAGCAGTCTAGAGTATGTCCTAAAGTCAAGGATGGTCTTTGGATTCCTACAGCAGAATCACAAGTTGGGCTTTGATGTCAGATTCCTTGCTCTGCTATTGTCTGTGGTTAATCTGCCAGCCTGCTTCTTTGGCTCTGTAATGGAGACGGTTATGGCTGCCCTATAAGTTGTTATGGAAATTGCACAAGAGGATGAGTCTATGGTCCTCACTGCTGTCCCCACTATGTACTCAATGTTAGAAACATGTTGGTGGAATAAATGAATTGAAGGGGGCAGTGAAGTCCATTTTTATCTAGAAACAATATCCCCTTGTTCCTTTTTCAAACAATCATAAAACTCTACAAAGAAGGTGTTTGGTGTGGGAGGCAGTGAGTCTGATGCTAGGCGTGGGTGACCTCAGTGCAAGGGAGGGTGGCACGCCTTGAGTAGTTTACATTTCTCAGAGAGGTTATCCTGTAGGGGTAGTGGACAGTGGCAAGAGTCTTCTGTTTCATGTTCCATTTTCATTTTCATCATGCCTAAACAACCTGCTTGGCAGCCATAGACATTAGAAATTGACTGGATCCATTGCTACTGGGGCATAGGTTAACTATGTGGTTGGCTTGTCATGCCATATCTCTGCCATTCTGGGTGTAGCTGATAAACTCATTGAGAATGCTTTGGGATAAAGATGAGGCATAGACACTCATATTTGACAAATCATATCATGTTTCTTGTCCCTGTGACTTTATCYCATAGCTCCACCTGGATGATAAGATTCAGTTCATTGAGGCATGAAGTTGGCCATATTGATTTTGTGGCATACACATGGGTCAACATCTCACTGAAATGGTAGAGCAACATGCTACCAATGTTGGCTCTACCAGTTCCAAATATCTGACCCATGTGTAGTATTCCTTGGCAGGAGTATGTTTCGTTTTATTCTATTAAGTTCTGAAGGAATCTATGGAATTGGAGACATTATGCTAAGTGAAATAAGCCAGTCCAATGTGCTCTCTGGTATGTGGATACTAAACTACAACAAGGAAGGGTGGGGAGGGGACGAATAGAAGTTCATCGGATTTGACAATGGGGAATGAAGGAAAGGGAGGAGGAAGGAAGATAGGAAAGACAGTAGAATTAATTGGATATAACTTTCCTAGCCTTGTATTTGAAATATTTGAGTACACAACCAGTGCAATTCCACATCATGTACACCACAAGAATAGGATCCTAATTAGAGTAAGTTAAACTCCACATGTGTATAATATGCCAGAAGACACTCTACTGTCATGCTTATCTAAAAAGAGCAAATAATAAAAATAATCTATGAATAATTCTAATTTCCATGTGTGTGGGTAGGTAAAAAATACATGTTTGTAATCCTAAGAACTTCAAGAACTGTTTACAGGAAAGGTCTACTTAGACCTGCTTTTTTTTTTTTTTTTAATGGCACTCAGCCTTAGTAGCAAATGTCATTTTATGCATCACATTGTCCCCATTGATGGGCATTCAGTACAGGTTAATCACAACAATTAAGTTTAATGAGAATTAATGGGGTGTCTTACAGCATGGCCTTGGCTCCCTGGGTTGCCTCCTCACCCTTGTTTATAAAGCTCTGCATGGCTGGTCCCTGATCATTTCAATGCCACCTTCATGGGGTTGCCCTTGCCCCTTTCTCCCTTGCAGACTGGCCTTTCTTCCCTCTCTGCCAGGAATGTCAAGGCTACCTCCCTCCATGCCTCTTTTATCTTCTCAGATTCATCTTTCTATCCACTCTCATCCTTTTCTTCTTCTCTCTTCCATCCATTTTCACCTTCCCTTTTTTCCTCCTCCTTTCTCCCCCTTTCCTGTCTAATCTTCTTTGTTCAGTCCCTTTTCTAGTAGTTTCCTCTCGAAGTATCCCCTCTCCAACCTTATATTGGCATACTGTCATTGACATTGTTGTCTTATGGGTGGGGGAAACAACCAATCTGCCCCAAAKGAGAAGACACCAGGGAAAGCAAAAGTACTACGAAGCAGATTATGTATCTAAACTCACCACGCCCCATTGCAGGTTGTTTTAAAGCACACCATGTTTTCTTGGGGAAGGATGAATGAATTGTCCATAATACCACACATGACCCTATCTGCAGCACCATTCTTATCAATTAACTTTGTATAGAATTACATGGGGGGAAGCAGACTGAGAAGTTTAAAATATGGTGATCTTTTGATAACTGGTAGTTAGATGTCTCTCTCTCTCTCTGACCTTCCCATTTGGGGCAAACTCAGGAAGCTGATTCTCTTTGGTTTTAGTGAGTTTTCAGAATGTACAAAGTATCCATCTCATACCCCTCCCAGAACTTCTTCCCTCTCAGCCAGAATTATAACTCTTTTGGAGGGAAAAAGACATGGCAGCTACTAATGGCAGTGTATGCCTTTATTAGATGGCAGAAGCTCTTCTAATGTGATGGTAAGAGGAGAGAATGGCATTAAGGTCAAAGAAGCCATACCAACAATCCCACCACTGCCATGCTTCTGGTTGAAGCCCCTTTTAGGACACCACAGAAATTTTACACAGAACACAAACACTGCAGGCTGGAGGACAAAGTGGGTCCCTCTCTTTAGTCTGAACAGTGTGGATGGCCTTGCTGCATCAAATTGTGATTTAGAAGACCACCCAACCTGGGGCAGGAATTCCTTCTCCCACCTTCCCTCTCCTACAAATAAAATGGGCAGAACAAAGACCTGTGCTCCAGTTCCCAAAGAACAGTAGGATGCCCTCATTGGATGCAGATTGTATTTAAATGCAATTCACCTCTTTGGGGTCTAGGAAAAGCCACCGGTAGATTCATTTGCTGGGAAACGCGGTCTGTGTGGCTGAGGCAGTGGATGCTGGAGGCATGATCTTGGTGAAAGCTGACTTTCTCCGGAGGTCTGTCTGCTGTCCAGAGTGGCAGCCACTTCGATGGGCAAATAGGATGGTCATCTCTGAGCTCAAAGGGGCTGCTTCGGGCAGGGACCCCTTGAAGGTGACTGGCTGTTCAGGCTTTCCAGAGGTGGGATGGGAAGTGTAGTGTTTGGTGGGAGGAGGGCTATAATTTTGAAATCTCACGGTTTTAACTTGCTGCAAGAAAAAGGAGCATGGGTGAGACACATACTATTCCCCCCCAGGACTGGGTTCATGCTATTTCTCTATACCTGTCCCCATTCAAAATTCCAAATTTGTGTGGTTTTCATTCAGCAAATATTTGTATCTACTGTGTTTACCATGCATCATGCACTGTTAGGTGCTTCGAGTCTCAGAGTGAACAAAACCACCCTGGTAAGCAGAAAGTTATAACAACTGCTCTGATGGGAGAAGTAGAAGATGCTGAGAATTCAGAGGAGTATCTAATTCCAGCTGGGATGGGGATAGTCAGGGAAGGCTTCCTAGAGAAAGAGCTATCAGATAATTGAAGAACAATTAGGAAGAGTGTAGGCTATTGCAGAGAAGGGAAGTTCCCTTTCTGCCTCTCTCACATCTGCCTTCCATTAAGGTCTATCTCCAGGCTAGCTCTTCCTCCAGGCCTCTCCTGATGACTACCATTTAGAGATTTCCATAATGGCCTTGGACGTCCTCAGTGCAGACTTTGCTCCCTGGACACCTGCTGGTTGAATTTAGCCTTCAGAGTGTTTGAGGGTTTGATTTACTCCCCCACATATGAAGACTGCATATACAAATCAGGATTTCATGTCTCTTTAAAAAATCAAAGATTGGCACACTGGGCCTTTGCCCCATTCTGACAACACCTGGCTGGAGCCAAGAAGCAGTTCCCTGTTGTATGAGACTTGAATCTCAGTTTGCTCCAAGCCCCGCCCCTCAACTTTCCTTCCTCTCACCTCTCCTAAGCTATTATGTAATTCCTGGTAGCTAAAGGTATTTGCTTTGGCCAATTCCTACTTTGGGGCTTAATAAGTGTTCTGTGGTACTGCCTGGGAATGATGTCTTTTTTTCCAAGAAATTCAATCCTGGTGTCCCCAAATGAGAATCCATGTTTCCTCATACCTCTTGACTCTCGCCATGTCTAGCTGGGGTCTGGGGACTTACTAAACACTTATAGTTTGAGGGTTGTGTCTAATAACTTGGGTTATTGGGTAACTGGGGCTTGGAAAACTTTAAATTATGTGAAAACTGTAAGTCATAATAAAAACTGCCAACATTTATATCAGTCAACACTAACTTTTTCCAAATGCCTTTCCCTCTAGGCTTATAGGTCAGCATTAAGATCATGAATTTTTATATCAGATCTGGATTGGATTCCAGACACTCAGGTGTCAGCTGAGTGACTTTATGTCATGTTTTCTAACTCCCTGAGCCTCCATTTCCTCATTTAAAAATGAGAATAAAGTGCCGGATGTGGTGGTACACGCCTATAATCCCAGCGGCTTGGGAGGCTGAGGATTGGAGGATCAAGAGTTCAAAGCCAGCCTCAGCAACAGGAGGTGCTAAGCAATTCAGTGACACCCTGTCTCTAAATAAAATACAAAACAGGGCTGTGGCTGTGGCTCAGTGGTTGAGTACCCCCCAAATTCAATCCCTGGTACAAAAAAAAATGAGAATAAACATAATACCCACTTCAGGGGGCTGTTAGGATTAAATGAGAAGGGATGTGCAAAGTTCTCAGCACAGTGCCTGCTGGGTAGCTAATAATTATTAACTACTTAGAAACAGGAGGAAACTACAGACTCTTTCCATTTTGTGGGGGAATGGGGTGAATGATGGTAGGATGGTGGTGATAGTGGTGGTGATGCGTGATGGTGGTGATCTGGTGGCAATAATGATGTTCAATAAACTAGAAGATAACAATGAGCGTCACCAAAATTTCTCTGTATCATCTCTTCCTTTCCATCACCCTTCTTGCTTCAGATGTTACAAAACCTCATGTCTTCAGTGCAAAAACTCAAGTTATTAGATATAACCTTCAAACTATAAGTGTTTAGTAAGTCCCCAGACCTCAGCTAGATATGGTGAAAGTCAAGCAGTAAGAAGAAACATGGATTCTTATTTGGGGACACCAGGATTGAATTTCATGGAAAAAAAGAAATTATATTAGAAGTTAATTGACCTGACCTCTGCCACAGAGGTCACAATAACTTAGTTGTTGGAGTTATTTGGTGTGATCTTGATGTATCTATTATCTCTTTGACATGATGAATAATTATGTGTCAATTATGATGTGAGGACTTCACATACCTTAACACCATTTAATCCTCTAAACTGATGTGGCCATTATCAACTGTTATCTCCATTTTGTGGATTAGGCAAAAAATAAGTAAGTAAATAAATAAATACTTGAAAGGTGAAGTGTTTTGGTTAAATCCACCCAGCCAGCAAGTAGCAGAGCTGGAATTTAAATCAAGTTTTGTCCGATGCCACAATCAGTTTTGTTCCAAGCCACCACCTCTGGGTCCCAAAATAAATATGTACAAAATATTTGTGAAGAATAAAGGTGAATCAGTGACACATCTAGGAAGGGGAAGGTGTGAGGCTGTGGGGGTGTTGGGTGTCAGAATAGTTTTGAGGCCGCAACTTTGGGTCCTTGACTACCAACACTGAGATCTCAGGAGCCGGGACAGTGTATAAAGTTGGGAGCTAGAGTCAGGTCCCCTGTGATTTTATTCCTACCTTTTCGGTGCCATTTCTTGAGTTTTCTGGTTTCACCAGGATTGATGGTGGGGCAGATGCGGGTGGTTTTGGCGGAGGCTCACTCTTGATGGGGATTTCCTTGCCTTCTATGATGACTGAACTGGCTGTCGAGTGGATCCTGGCATCGCTGCCTCTGCTGACGCAGGTGAGGGCAGGCTCCCCAGTGGGAGTTGGTGTGGGTCCCATCTCCACCACCACCGTTGATGGGGAGGACGGGATCCCCTGAGACTGGTAGAACTGGAACTGCTGAGGCTGTACCACCGTGGTAGGATTGCGTCTGAGGGAACCCACCATGAAGGAGGGGATCCCTGACTGCACCGATCTCTGCAGGGATCCATCTAGGGGATTATATGACAGAGATATCAGCAACAGCGGTGGCTGACAGCAGGTTGGGTCAGGGCTGGGTAAGCAGTGTGTCCTGATATCCCAGAATAGTCAAGTGCTTTCCTAATTTGACCGAGCTCACATTCTCCTGGGGTCTTTCAAAGGTGACCTTATTCTTTTTTTAGTGCTGTTTGCTGGCAGCAAGTAACTGGCTAGCTGAATGGTGTGTGTGTGTGTGTGTGTGTGTGTGTGTGTGAGAAGGACTATTGCTTCCATTCACCTCTCTCTCTCTCTCTCTCTCTCTCTCTCTCTCTCACACACACACACACACACACACACACACACACACACATGTTCATACTCTCCTACTTTCTCCCTCTAGGCCTTTAAGACAGAGTGTGAAGAAGACTGACACAAAGACAGCTTCACAGTGAGAAGCAGGCACACCAAAGAGGAAATGCAAAACAGAGCCAGACACAGAAAGAAAACAGCAATTGAGAAACACAAGAGACAGACAACTGAGAAGGACAAGAGGGAGGGAAAGAAGAAAAGAGAGAGAAGAAGGGACCAGAGGACTCTAATCAGCTACTTGCATCAGA